ACAGTTGTTTAAAAGCAGGTTGAAACTGAGTGGTCTTTTTTAAAAGTAGGGTGGGCCAGGTGTAGTGGCGCAGGTCTGTAATCTCAGTGACTCAGAGGGCTGAGGCAGGAGGATCTCAAGTTCAAGGTCAGCTTCACAACTTAGGGAGGCCCTAAGAAACTTAGAGCCTACCTAAAAATAAAAAAAATAATGGGGCTGGGGATGTGGCTGAAGCGGTAGCGTGCTCGCCTGGCATGTGTGCAGGCCTGGGTTCGATCTTCAGCACCACATACAAATAAACATGTTGTGTCCGCTGAAAACTAAAACATAAATATTTAAAAAATCTCTCTCTCTCTTACAAAAATAAAATAAAAAAATAAAAAGGGCTGAGGCTGTAGCTCAGTGGTTAAGCCCCTTGATTCAATCCCTAGTACCAATAAATAAATACCAACCTTTGTTATGAATATAAACTTAAGAAATTTAGGGTCCTATTATATATAAGGCTCTGAGTTCCATCTCTAGTACCATTAAAAAAAAAAAAAGGACTTTTAGGTATATTTTTCAATCCATTGTAATCATTAAAGTTTTCTCAACTAAAGTGTTATCATATATTCTGCATATGTATCTGTCCTACATTTTATTGTTTAGATGAGCATTTTTTATTGAAATATGTATATATAAGAACTGTGTAAGTGTGTGTGTGTGTGTGTGAGAGAGAGAGAGAGACGTGTGGCACTGGGAATTGAACCCCGGGCATCACATATGCTAGGCGAGCACTCTACCACTGAGCCACACCCCTCTCCCTCCATCTGATTTGATTTCTTTTCCCAGGCCCCAGCTCCAGCCCCCAGGTACTGGCCAGGACCTCAGTTCAGATCCATAGTTGACTGGCACATATGCTCCCTAGCACACTGGAAAGGCCCAGCAGAGTTTCCAACCTGTCTCCACCCTCCCCGGCCCTGGCCCGGCCCTGGCCCCAGCCCTGCCACCTGTACCTGTAAATGAAACGGATGGTGTAGTAGCAGAACAGGAAGATGAAGAACTCTCTGTAGAGCAGCTTGTAGATGCTGCCACGCCAGCACAGCAGGAGGCGGGAGAAGGAGCCCAGGCGGGCATTGGCCACTTGGCTGGAGTAGGTGACGGTCATGGCCAGGCACTGGGCTGCAGCAGGTGGGCGTGGGTCCTGGTGGGCAGGCAGAGAGGGTGCTGATGGGGTGGGTGGGGAGGCCTTAGTTGGCTCCTGTCTGGGACTCATGCATGATCTTAGCCAGGACGCTTCCCTGCGCGGGCCTCAGCTCTCCCACCTGGACACTGGGAGCAGGGGAAGGGGATCATTTTCAAGGGCCTTCCAGCTCTGACTGCCTGTGGGAGGTGGGAACCCAAGAAAGTGAGCCCAGAGGCTGCCCCTGACCTTGGCAGGGAAGACAGACAGGTCTGTGTATTAAGGGCATGGGCCCTTAATTTTGCACAGTGACAATAACAACAGCAATGTCCACACACTGAGCCGGGCATTGTTCTGAGCTCATCTTGTTCCCTACGCTCCCTCAACTACCTGGAATGAGAAATAAGTAAGGGACCCAGGCAGCCCAGTCCACTGCCAGTGACCCCATTCCCAAAACAGAGCCTGATGGGCAAGGTTGTTCCAATTTACTGAATGGTTGCCCCAGGGCCTTTCCACCTGCTGAGCCAGTTGCCTGGGGGATGCTCTTCCTGAGGGAACTGCCTGACTCATTCCCACTTCATGACATCTCAGCAAGGATGTCCCCGGCTATCCTACTAGAAATAGTGCCTCACTGCCACCAGCAGTGTGCTTCCAGCTTGTTTGATTTTTCCACCTAGTATTTATCCCTCCTCAAATATAAATTATACAAGATACCTGCTGCTTGCTGCCTCTTTCCTCCTCCAAATGGAAGCTCCTGTGTTGTTCTCATAGCAGGTGCTCAATAAAACTTTATTTGAAGCAGTGATTGAATCTCCATCCTCCCCCACTTGTTCTGATGCAGCTACAAACCATGTCTCTGTGCCTGGTGCACACCAAGCTCATTCCCCACCTCGGGACCTGCAGAAGCCCACACACCTGCACTTGTACTCTGTGTACAATCATCCACCCCTGTGGTCCCTCCAAGCCCCAGCCCTGTCCACGTGGGGCACCCCCTACTCACAGGTGGGGCTCCAGTCTGGTCAGACGATCCCTTGAAAGCTCTGGCCACTGGACTGGTGGGACTGAGACCCTATAGCCAGTGCCCGTGCCCACACGGGGAGGCTGGTACTGCCCACATACATGTGTGCTGAGCGATCACCTGACTCCCTAAGCCACGGCCTCCACAAAGGAGCCCTTGTCTCGGCCCCTCCTTGTAATCTGCTCAGAAGCAGCAGCCCACTCAGCCTGGCCAGGTACCTCTAATTCCTTCCTGCGGGGGTCGAGCTAAGAGCCGGAATCTGGGGCAACAGTTCCTGTACCATGGCCCTAAAATCCAGAGGTTGAGGGGTCTGCTCCACTTGCAGCCTGACCCCTGAGGTCTTGCAGGGACCGTGGGGACAGTGCTGAGCTTCATCTTCCCTTTTCCAGGATCTACCCAGGGAGGGACCCTCTATCCAGGACCCCGGGAGCTTAGGTAAACCTGAGGGCTGGGGAACGAACACTGGGCTACCGTCACAAGTCCTGGCTTCTAGCCCTGGCTCTGCGGTGACCTATGAGGTGACCCTGGATAGGACTCTGCTCCTCTTTTGCCTCAGCGTCCCTGTCTGAAAAGGGTGGTGTTGCGCTGGAATCTCATCACCTCAGTGAGAGTGACAGAATTCTGCTTATACTGGTGAGGAGTTCTGATTGGCTGCTGGTGACATCACAGGCTGTGATTGGTCGGCAGGATCTGTTAATAGGTGCTGCGCAGCTAGGGAAGGAGGTGGGGGCTGGGAGCCCATGAGTGGAGACCAGGCCTGGGGGGAGATGACAAAGCCGCCCTGGTGTTTATGGGGCTGGCTTCTAGCCAGACTGTGCAAAGTGGGAGCGAGTGCTCAGACCCCAGGGGCAGCTGGTCAGACTCTCAGCAGCTGATCTGATACATTTTAATACATTAATCCATTCCGAGGCTCCTCTGAGCCTCT